CACCGCCCCTCGGAGTTATACTCGCAACCGTTAAACGCTCGCCTTCGCACCGATCCCAGCCTGAATTAATAGTTGGCCGCGACTTAGGTAGTCGGACTTGACATTCGGCGTCCTCGTCGGATCGTCAACTCCAATCTAGCGATCGCGAATCCATGCAGGACATGCACGGAGTCGTCACCCTGACGAGTGAGCCTCTCTGTTTTTCGAAGTGACGACGGAAAATTTCGAATCCTGTCGACCACGGCTCCGGTGCGATGCCGATGCGATTAAGAAAAAAATGGACTCGATTCGAGTGCGGTGATCGCTGATCAGTGAAGACCACAAGTAAACCGTTGCTCAGCATCTCGCTCAGCATCTTTATCAATGCAACGATTCGCAAAAGTGCCGTTCTCTTTTCGAACTCTCCGTCTAATATCCGTCGAATTTTCTTCCAAATTTCCTGCCGATCCCGTTTCTCGATCGAAACAGTCGGGTGACCCCAAAAGATCCCGGTCGAAGTAATCGGAGCATTCGCAACGAGCAGGTGATGCGCGATCGTTTTCTCTTCGAGATACCGCCCTACGAATAATTCATAGCGAATGCGAAAACGCTTCGTCAGAATGAACCTCGTGACGAAGCGCGCGTTCCGCTCACGTAAGAATCTAAGAATCGTTCTAACAGTGAATTCGAATTTGGAATATCATCGGATGTTCCGTACCTGGTCTTGTCTCATCGTCGAGTGATTATGTTCGATTTGTGTTTCGAGTGCTTGCACAACACATATTTTCGTATAATTGTCTTCAGACTCTTGATAGACCTCGCTGAGGAAAGTTCGTTGACTTGGAGTCGGGATTCGCTATTTAAACAAGTTCTACGAAAAGGAAACAGTTCGCACAAAACTTCATTATTTGTTGTGGGTAAAATAAAACACTTTAGTGACACGAATTACATTATGGAGACTATATCTAGAATGATTAACCTCCCTGTGTTCTATATTTTCCAAGTCATGAATTGCAACTATAATAATGCATTTTTAATCTCCTTCATTAAGTAAAGAGATGCTAACACAAATGATATGATAAAAAATATGTATTTGCTTGAAACTTATTGGTATTTTTTTCTAAAAATTACAAAAATTATTTTTCATGTCAAAACACATTTATCAGGATATATTTATATCATATTAGGTGTTGGAATTAATTCGTAGCGTTTTTAATGAAAGAATGTTATTTATTTCACATGAGCATTAAAAAATACATTAATGAAAGTATTTCCCATCACTTGTAAAACGCTACGAATTAATTCCAACACCTAATAATATATTAATATATTCTGCTATTGTAGGAATGTTATTCTTAAAAAATATGTCAATATGTTTTTTATTATAAAATATTTGTTATGTAATCTCTTAAAACTTTTACGAATAAAATATGAAAAAATTATATACACACAGTATATCTGTTTATCTAATTCTGATAGACTTATGTCATGTATATTTTTGAATCGTGTTTCGTATATATTATTATTCATGTATATTATTATTTCGTATATATTATTGTTAAAGTGGAAGAAACATATTTGTTTTACTTCAGGTTTTGGATAAACTCGCTTATTGAAAAACAAAAAAAAAATGGTGTCGACACGTCAATCAAGTAACATGGGGAGTAGTGGTGGCAGTGGATTAGTTGGTGAAGTAGAAGTAAATTCGTTAAAAAAGCAACCTTCTGTAACAGCTGGCACATCCAATAATGGGGCCACCATTGAATCGCGCAACTTGAATCTTCTGGATTTACCTGTCGAAGTCCTTGAGAAAATCTTTGGCTACCTGGGTTTCAATATGGTAGCCCATATGCGTTTGGTAAGTATCAATAAATTCAAAGTTAAATTCATTTTTCCCAATGGAATTATTATAGCAAACATTCTATTCATAGGTTTGCCATCAACTGGACCGCATTTGTGGATCAATGCTGAACTCTACGTTTCAAAAACTACAAGCTCAAATGTTAAGCCGTTTTCAGGCTATCAAAGCGCAAATGCCCAGACGCGAGTCTGCGCGTCGAAATCATCCGTTAGCATGTGAGTCGGATATTATTGAAACTCTACATATGCGACTTACTCTGCTGCAAATGAGTTTCGGCAAGCACATTGAACGGAAGCATTGCTGCTTCTTCCCTGGCGAGGTAAGAACGAGAGATGTAAAATAAAAACTAATGTTATATGTTAGACTTGGCATTAGTAAGATTAAATTTACTTAAACTTTTTTTTTAATATTTTTTTTTATGTTTCTTAGATATTTCCAGTTTTTTGAATGCATTTTTTACCATTATATGCCATCATGTAGAAAATAAGTATAGGTATACTAAATTTGTTAGCAATAGCTCTTCTTAGAATAATCTTTTACAATTAGCTCTTACTTTCTAAGTTTTCCGTGATTATATTTAAACTCATAAAAGCATAGAAACGGCAATAAAAATAGTATTTGCTATTTTACAGATTTTAGATGAAGTTTATCACATTCTCCATTATATAAAAGTTACTCCGAAATTACAAAGACCTTACAAAGTCACAGACGAATTGTTTGATCTGAGTACTATGGCTATGGAATATTTCAAGGAACACATTGAACCAACATTACCAGAAATACCTTACTTCGGTGCCGACTTTCTGGATCTTGCAGGAACATTCTCTTGTAAGCTGATGATTCAATACTTATATCTTTATAATATAATTTTATTGTGAATTTTATTGTCGCAGCTTCTAGTAGCGTGAGTAAACCATTTATGTGCCTGGATTCCACACCCTTGACCATTGGAAATGGAAAAACGGGCAATGCTGGTGAAGAAGAAGGTTCCTCGTCGCATTGTTCAGACGATCCCGCTCTTTTGGAATCCAATGTATCACCACCACAATCGAACATGGTTTTGCGAAAACGAATTCGCAAGATTAAACAGGGCATGAGACGATACAACAGTCAGCTAACATTGATGCGTAGGGATTTGAAGAGTTGCAAGGCGAAAATTGCGGATCAACAGAAACAAATCGTAGAATATGCTACTCGATTGGATGATAATGACAAAAAGAATGAGGAGACGTCACGAAAATTCAGCACACTTCTACAGGTATAGGATTTTTTAAAAGTAAACATTTAATTTGTAATATGTGAAATTTGCTTTATAACTTATTCTTTTAAATTGTAGTTGGTTGTTTCACTCTCAATTCTTATTAGAAATTTATATTCTCATTTTGTAAATACAAATTACAAATTTTATTTTAGGAGTTGAACAAGTGTAAAACTGAGTTACAATATTGGCGCTCCAAGTCACCAGCAATACCAGTGTGTGTAGGTTGTGGTCAGTCAATGCCAGTCCCTACAGAAGATTTACAAGCTTTAGCCAATCAGGGAGTGCTGCCGGATGCGTTTGGCGAAGGACACGACTTTATTCCCATCGCGGATGCTCATAGTCCCACCGAAGTGGTACAGCAATCTGTAGTTACGCAATCTCCGTCGACGCCGACAGTGGACATGGCACCCCCAAAGGCTCCCGTGCCTTCAATATCTTTTAAACGGAAATCTATCGTGGAAGAAACGTCGGGCGATGCCGCGAAAAAATCACGTCGCACTGCCAAGTCTCGTCAGGCTAAGCGCTCAAAAATATAAATTGATAACACTGATCATGGTACAAATATTCAACCAATCTTTAATGGATTTCCGAAGATAGGGACTTTCTATGGTTTACATGCGTTTCTTTATGTCAGCAAGCCGATATGATCTTAGAAGAGTACAAAATTCCTCACCGAACGTCCTGCATCTCGCGCAACGAACATCGTTTTAAAAATTTTAGCCGTATCGATTGCCGCGAATTGTCAAGAACGCTAGTTGATTTTTCGATTGTTTCACGAATTTATCGTCGCCGATAATAACGACGCACTTTGATGAACATTCTAAAGAAGCCTAACCGATCATTCGCTTTGCTCGTAAAGCAACGTCCAACTTTCTCGAATTCTTATTAAATTCATTTGTTTTTTAATTATCATTGCCGCGGTACACTTGAAGATGATAGAAAGTTGAAAATCATGTGTCATGTTTGTGTTTGTCATGCATTTAACAGCGATATCGCACGAAAGAACACTACTAAATAATATTATGGCGAACAAACATTCGCCTTCCATTTTGCTCTTCGATCAAAAATATGATTCTCATGTTATTTTTAAATGATATATCCTTACTAGAATGTTGATTGGATATCGCGTCTTTAATATTTTGATCGAATAAGACAATACAGGAATAGAGAAGGCTTAAAATTTCATAAAGCAACTTATATAAATCGAATTTTGTAGTGGAAACCAAATAATTTTTAGAAAATTGTAAATTAATTCGAGCATATAATTTAAATCACATTCTATATTAATTGAATCGGTATAAAGCGAGTAATTTTTAAAAAATTTGTTCGAATATTTCAATCGCATTTTCCATAATATAGCTTGCGGTAACTCGTACATAAAGAATTTTCAGATCGAGTTTTTAAAGGAAATTTTATTTCGTGATATTGTTAAAAAATATCACGAATTAAATTTGGAATAATTGATTTCGATTGCTTGTTCGGTATTACAAATACATCAATAGCTCTCAATTCGTTTTAATTCGTTATGCTTGTTCAAATTAGAAAAATTGATATTTTTACAGCAGTAAATGTTTTATCGTCCGATTGTATCATTTATGTTCACATGCATAGATTGAATGAATTTGTATGGCTAGATAAAATCAAAAAAATTTTATGATAAAAGTATCATCCTAATATTAAGACGCGGAACAAGAAAATGAAATCTTCGAAGAAGAATTTAAATTTTAGTAAAGAGCAAAATGTTGATGGATACTTGGAAAGGTGTTAGTTTATTTTTATGAATACGTCATTTTACCAAAACAATTATGAGATGGCGTACACATTGCAATATTAATAGAACTAGATTATTATTTATAGGAATGATTCTATTTAGATAAAAGAATATTGGGTATCATGCCATTTTTGTATATTATTATGCGGAAAAATGAAGTTTTGTTATGAATAAAATTAATAGCATTTGTATTTATGAGAGTAAATTTAAAATGGAGGACGTTCACATTTATAAATTATAAATTATAAATTATAAAAATCAAGGATATTTGCAATCGGCTGCAGAAGTCTGATGGTTTACCTTACGCGATAAACAATTATTGGTACAGTAGGAGCAATTAATGTCTTATTTGCACCGATTACCAAATTAATCTCAAAGCAGCGTAGTTAGATATTGTGAGTTATTCATGATGATACTTATTAAAAAATGAAAAATACAGATAAATATATAAGTGAATGATACTTTATATATTACAAATATGTATGTATGTATGTTTTTATATATATGTACATGAATGTATGTACGTATATATAAATATGTATGTACGTATATTTGAGTGGTACTTGCCAGGTGCGCATACCACACGCAGAAACACTTTAGTTTAAACTTTAATGGAACAATAAGATATAACGATTAATTAATTAATTAAACAATTAATTAATTAATGATAAAATAATTGAAATATATATGAAAAATATATATATAAATATATATATATATATATATAATTTTTTATCGATGTCAAAAGGAAATTAGAGAAAAAGAAAAGCAGAGATAACTTAGGGTGTAACTATAATGGGAAAACGGTGCGGTGCGCATACGTGTGAGGTGAATGTGTGATATGTATGAGAATAATATACTAAATTTGAACTTTGATGAGAATTTATGATGTGATGCTTTATCGATTTAATCGCGGGAAAGTGACCTTTATCCGAAAAATATAAAATACACGTGGGGCGTTTCTGGTTGCGAACGAGTATGTAAAACTTCACTTAATGTTACGTTGAATAGCGCATTGCGGGGGCGGGCATAGCCAAATCGTACGTGTCGGAAATTTCGAAACGCTTGTATGTTCACTTGCAAAACGTCGCGCGCGACCAGCAGCGGCGTATATCACGAACATCTGTAGGATGAGACCATCCAGAAATTCGCATCGAGACTCTGTTTCGTCATTCAGGCCCCTAAGAACGAACATATAGATCCAGGATCGACATCTACAGCGGCGAATTGCATCAGCATCATAAGTCGATGCCAATTTTGGTTGGCTGGCGAACTTACATTCTAATCCATTGAAATTTTTTAAAATTATTTTACAGGTGACCACCGATAATTTTGTGACATCCCGTATAAAAAGGACCGAGCAAGTTAATCATTAATATGCTATCGGTGCAATCCAGCGTAAAAATGAATCGACAACTTATCTTCTATTTGCACTTCTCTTAACTCAAAGAGAAATTATCAATCTGGCAAATTATCCATCCGGATAATCGATGCAAATAAAAAGTTAATTTAAGAAGGTGACATTAGCGTACAATATGGAGTACTAATTATCCAATATAATTGTTCAGTACTAATTTTGATTGATTCATGTATCTTTTTATTTAATGGGTACGGTAGTGCGTGGATAAAGAACAGAAGGAACAGAGAATCGCCAACCAGAGTTGGGTGACTTGGACCGTGTAATTCAGCCTAAACATACCTCACATATACATATATATATTATATGTAATATAATATATGATAATATATTATATATAATATAACACTTTTAACGACGTCTTTCACTTCACGTCGTCTTGAACAGTTCACGCTCCTCTCTTTCTCGGCTTTCCGACATAATCCGTCCCCGAACGATACAAATGTAGAACCGTGTACTACGCATATTATGGATCTAAGTTAGACGTACGATCGAATATAACAGTGAATATGCGAATTAGGAGTAGAATAATTTTCTAGACGGTAGAGAAGTGCTGTGCGCGCGGGGGGGAAGGGAAACGAAAGAGAGGAAAGAAGAATATATATATATATATATCTCTCTCTTGGAATTACTTGCTTCACCCCGAAATCTTGCTATCTGCAAGCATATTAATGCAAGCAACGGTCCTTGCCTCAGGTACACAATAGACAAATACCCATGATGATACCGAAATCGTGTACACTTCACGGAGACAAAAAACAATGATATAGGAACACAATTTGCCAGCGTTACAGTGAGATGCGCTGTAACGCCGAGGAATAACATTGTCTTAAATGGTTTTACGTGTATTAAAGCGATTGTAAATATATATATTAGATACACCTTATAATAAACATAATTTAACATATCTAATGTTCTAACTTCAGTCTATCACGCGCGCACTACATGAAAAACTAAAAATTCATATATTTCAGGTTAAATTATTTTATAATTATTTTACAATTATATTATTTTATAATTATTTATAATTATATATATATATATATATTATATATATAATTGTAATTAAATATTGAATTTTAATTAATTGTCATTCGTAATATGATAAAAAGGGATTTTGTAAATTCTTTGTGTTCATTTATATTATTATATAATCTTCTAAAATTCTTAAATTTTTGCTTAATTTTAATTTAAATTTTCTTTTAATATAAGTCACAAGTTTTCATAAGACAACATCTTTTTATAGTTCAATCAATCATCTTTTGTAACAGATTGTTAATTATATTGATGTTATTAAATTGTATCATATCGTCTTATATTATATAATACTTTCAATGATATAATTAGACTATCAGTCTCGTGTTTTATTAATCGTTATGAAATAATTTCAAAGTCGTATGATTGTTTTATAAAAAAATGTAATACCTAACATGTATATTTTATATAATTAATTAATATACTAAATAAGTCAAAATTAAGAAGTTATAACTATGGTTTTCAAGTACGAAATATGAAAAGTAGTTTTTGTTTTATCTAATTAATCGAATCATTGTTAGGACTAAGATTTTTTCAATTTTGTTAACGAGATATGGAGTCTATTCATTAATATTCATTTCTACCAAGTAGATTAACTTTATTCTCAGATTAACTTGTTTAATAATTAAAAACAGATAAAAGAAAGTTAAACCGAGAAAAGTTAATCTATGTTGAAGAATTGAACATGATAATTTTTTATGAAACAAAGCGTTTTTCATATAAAACTATTTCAATTCTAGAAAAAAAAAAAGGCGAGAAAGATTAAACTGAGATGAGCAGATGCATCATTCTTTTAATTATGTTTATTTTGTGTTTCCTTCCTCTTTTAATGTTTTTCTCTTTCATCTTTCAATTGTCTGCGCGCTCGTCCCGTCTTGAGCGCAGAAAGTGCAACATAGCGCGGCTGAAAGTAACTAGTGTTATTCACTAGTCTTTCTATTTCCGTCAAAGATGGTAGACACCACGCAAAAGTGTCATTACGGGACGAATACGAGTATCATTACGAGATCGTTCGCGGTGTCGTGATCGAGTGTGACCGAAGAATCTTGTGCAATCTAATGTGCCTTGACCTTCCGAAATTTTCCTTCTTTACGCATTTAAATCTTGAGTCGATCATCTTATGATCATTCTCCAATCATAACCGTTTCATGTACGCGTTTTGATTTCCTGCTGCTTCAGCAAGAGGTAGTTGGAGTCGCGCGAGACCGACCATGGCAGATTCATTGCACAAGGATGGATATGAGAATCGTGAGTAAATAGAGAAAAAGATTTCAAAACAAAGCTTTCCTTTCTGTGTTGTCCTATCGTGCGATTTTCTGCACGCTTG